TGGCAAGGGTTCGCATAATTGAAGGATCCGGGCGCCAGCCGTTGTACACACGTTATGGGCTATTCTTTCAATAGTCAATGCTACCTAATAATATGAATTCTTGACCATGCAACGCAGTGTCATTCGCCGCAATTGCAGCCCGAATAACGACGCTGAGATGAGGTAGCTAAATCCGAAATACAGACGTAGTGCGAGTGCTATTTCGAACCCGCTATCGAATGGACGGCACACTTGATGCATTCAAGCGGATTAGAGGGGATCGACTCCGGTCGCTGTCCACTCACCCGCCTCCAGAACGGAACATGTTCGTTGTAACAAAAAGGAAAGGATATTCTTAGTCCCCAACGGTCGCGGGCGGTACGAAGTTGGTAACAGTTAGAGAAGCACGGCCATTCGTCACAGCTCATCTAGGGAACCAACAACAAAACTCGATCGAAAATCAAATAACCATTGACGCTTCTATTTTCAGCGGACTTGGACTTTCGTAAGCCAGTCTCAAGTATGTCAGCAGGTCAGACACGTCGATGAGGAAGATTGTCTAAGCTTGGCTGCTAAATATGCTCGCGATCCCGCGCACACTGCGCCGAAGAGAATCGACGTATCAACATAGGGGGCCGGTTAACAGGCTCATGAATGGCCCAGGAGACAATATGTAGCGCCCTCGAGCGGGTTATCACGCCCAATTTCCGATTCGCCTAACCTTGCCGAGGGTGTCATCAGCCGAAAAGCTTTTTCGGCGGCTCTTCAGCAGGTAGAATACCACAGATAGCATCTCAATATTTAGCAGGTCTGAGACACATATCTCTTGAGGCTAGTCATTCTATGAGACGGTTGGGCAGCGTTAATTCCACGTGTGAGCGAAGATAAACAAATAATCAAGGGTCGGCGCGCACCCTCAACCCAGAAGGAACTGTTTACATATACACTGAAAGTCCGTGACCAGGGATCCGAAAACGACCAGGGATCTCGCCTAACCAATGAGACTATGGAGGCATCACGAGATTCTGCAATTTTACCATGCTGGATAGGTTAAGCGCCCAGCAGAGATGACTTCGTAGGATCGAAGAACTTGCATGAAGAATTTAATTATAGAATAAGGATACGGGGTACTGGAGAAGGTTTTAAGTCTGAAGAACTGTGGGGAGCTGTAGAACTTTTTGACACCAGAAAACTGAAAAGCAGTAATTGGAGGGTGAAACAGCATCCTAGAATGTGTCTGAAGAATCATTGACACGAGGCAGAAGCCCCGTCATCCAATCGCGATGCCCTACGGGCTGCTCTTGATAACCTGTTTTGATTTAGTCGGTCCCCATGGAAGGATGAAACAACTGAGGCTAAAAATGACTTCTGCAAAACATGAGAAGACATGGCCAATAAGGCCTTGATGAGGACTGCTGAGGAGCCTAGACATACCGTTGCTGGGACAATTTGTGACCTTCACACTCGATTCAGTTTTCTAGAACCGCTGAAGTTGAAGAGGCAGGATAACCGCGCGCTCCAGGTGCAGTTGTGAACTACCCACCGCGATACCTACCCCTGTCATTCACCCTTCTCCCACAAGCTTGCGACAGGCGCGCATGTATTCAAGAGAATGATTGGCAGCTCTACTGGCATTTGCTAATTTGAATATGAGGATATCTTCAGACGAGGGATGCATTTCCTGGCGGGAAAGGAAACGAGTTCCTGGGAGGAAAGAGTCTCAAATCCACAACAAACGAACATAAAAAGGGCACCATATCCGGATGTGAACTAGATCTTCAAGTTGATTCTTCACAGCTCGTCCCTCCATTACAAGGCTTAGTTCATCACATGCACACTTTGCCCTTGTGCAAAACAACACTCTTTGTTACACAAGCACTCCTCTTGTTCTATTTTTTCCTTCCACAACTTGGTAGGTGTGGCCGATATTCCCCCAAAATCGAGTCCATTCCCCCGCTCTTGAGCGAGCAGGAGGGATCAAGAAGGGCTATCTATTCCGGGGCCAATAAGAGGGAGCTAACAAGGAATAGTTCGGCACCTTCTTGAGCTGCACCTGCAGATATCACGTTGATTCACCGCCCGCTCTCCGCAGAACATCGTCCTGGACAGCGTAGTCGGTCCAATCAGCGCGCCGAACAGCGGGTCTATTTTAGCCCTAACTTTGCCTCAAACGAAAGCGCCCCAAGCCCCAACCGCAAACAAACTTTCCGCTACTCACTACCATACCATAAAGGGACTAGCGTATTCTAATCTTAGAACCGCCCTTGTTCCCGAAATCCCCTCTGTCGGTTACTGGGTGTTCATTGGCTGGAGTTACGCGCCCATCCAACTGTCCGCAGCATTCTGTTCAGCGTTTCGCTGAGAAAAAGACCCAACATCAGTCTGAAGTGCGCCGGCCGTCTTCATCTTACTGAGCGTGAATGCGTGACTTGTCGATTTGCCTTTGTATCGTTTGACAATCACAACATATCAATCGCTTCCGCTGCTGTTCCAATTTGAGCAATACGTGAGGGACCATTTTCCATACAAGCCGCGGGTGGTCACTCCTTTTTCTCCTCGAGTATCCTATCGCTCTCTGTTACCTGACCGTGTCTGTCTTGGTCACCGGCCGAAGAGACCACTCTGAGTTCGATAAACGTCGATTCGAAATTCCCGCCAGCATGCCAGTCACATCGAAGCCAACGTTGGCGCCACTTGATACTTCCAAATCGCTGGTTTTTCCGTCTGAACTTCATGACAGCCCATTGTTCTCTGCAAAGTTTGAGATGATCAAACACGAGGACGCTCTGAAGACACCAATAACGCCTCCAACCGCGTACACTGACTTGCTCAAAACGCTCACGCCAATGATCGCGACCCCGCTGTCGGCAAGCGCTCCCTCGACAAGCAAAAGCTTCTCGTCATCTTCTTCCAGCCCATCGACGAGCACCAGCCCGTATTTTTGCACCTGTCAAACACACCAAAAATCATTGACCACTCCTCTCCTAACTCCATTGTCCGCTACAACGACGAGATCACAACCGGATAGGGTCCAAAAGCCCCCGCGAACGCCGAGGACACCGAGAACTCCAATCAACGTGCGATCACTACGCGGTTCAGAGTCGGCAAAAGCCTCACCTGTCACGGAATCTCCACGAAGCGCTTCAGCGCGTTCTCTATTATCTCCAGTGTCTGGTTCGCACGCTGAATCAAACGTTCGATATCTTGATGCGTCTCGCTGCTCCTCATGCGCTCGCCCAGTCATTGTCCGCCAAGTCGTCACGCGGACGATAACATATAAGCGAACCCCACTCGACCCAGCGCCCAAGGGTAAGCGAAGAAAGATGGAAGAAAAGAAGTAGAGCCATGGAGGTCTCGAATTCCCTTAATTTGACACTCCCTTTCGTCCTGCAGATAATTCGCTTTTCCTCCCTGGTGTCTATTAGCAAGCAGTAATTGTTACTAGTCCTTTCGTTCAGTGCCTTCCCGGAGTTCATTGGATTTTGTTCTTTTCCTTGTTGATGTGATGAATGTAAACAGGGTACGACCATCGCTTTCTTTTTTTTGCTTTTTTGACTTATGTTTCGCATCTTGTGGTTGCAGACTCGATTGAGTCCTTGGAAGAGCAGGAAGAGATGTCCACCTTGATGGTGCTGAGTATGCCTGCCTGTCGCGTTGAGCGAACCAACATGTTTCCAACTTTTTTCCCCTTGCTCATGAGAATATCACCAACTGGTAAAATCTGCTTTCCTTGGCTTGGTATTTTGCTTTTGAACATTGGCATCTTGAATACTAGCCATCTAAGCCCTAGCTGGCTAGAAACACATACAAAAATATATAATGCAATCACTTCACTTCATTTTCTTATGGTACTTTCTTTGCCAGGATGTTTTCATCTCGATACGCTCGACAGAAGAAGAGCGAGAGCATGCATTCATCCTAGCCAGACATATAGGCGTAGCGTTCTGTTCCTAGCATCCTTGTTGCTCAGGTTAACGCCTGACGTACTCTGTAGTATTCGTAGTTCAGAGCTGCCAGCTGCCAACTTGAAACTTTTCAAGGTTTCAAAGGCACACGAGGTAGCTCTCAGTGATGAGAAAGTAAACAGCAGGGAGGCAGAAAGATGGGTACAATAGCCATGTATTCTACATCTCGTACTGGCTCCATTTCAAAGTTTCCCTGACGTCGCACACTGGTTTCTTGACTTTTGTTCCTGCTCAAGCGAAGCATCCACGTGATTTGAACGATGACTTGGCTCTCGCGGTTATTTTTAGGCCTTGCAACTACTTTGGGGCGTTGTTATCAGCCCTTGAGCAGTTAAAATAGCATAGGGCATTGCTGGCAAACCAGATACAATTGCTCCCCAGAAAAGCTACACCCTTGAAGCTACAAAAATTACATATGTCAGGTTTGCTGATAGAGAAATAACCCATTTATTGTACTAATATAGTAATACCGAACACATATACTCCCTGTACGGCAGAAACAATTATGAAAGAGCATTAGGATAGGACTGTTATACATATCTCTGGTCAGATGTCTCCAGTGCAAACTACCCAATCTAAAAACTACCTATATTTTACTCCTCCATCGTCCTTTCTGTGTCTAAACACCCTTCACCATCAAGGACTTCAAATTCACCACTGCCAACGCTGTGGTGGAAATAGGAGAGGCTCTTGGGGTTGAACCTCTTCCGTTGGAGGGCATGCGAGTAGTTATCACCCAAAAAGGACTTCTGACGCTGGTTTACATCTGCCCTTCACAATCCCTTTGGCCTATTGCAAGTTCTGTGAGGGCGGTACCATGCCAACCCGGGATGAATCAGTGCTGGTGAAGATTCTGATTGGAATAGCGCAGCCTGCCTTACATGCTATCTTTGGAATCTTAGGTCTAACCTCCTCGCCAATTCAAGTCCTGCGGGATGGAAAGCAAGCGGGGTATTCCCACGATTAAAAGCCGGGCCACAGTGTGCAGGGCGACTGGATACGGCACCTTTTGCTTCTCAATGCTCATTTGCTCTAACCTTTCTAGAATAATGTACGGATACCCAATCCGAATCAATCTAGCTGAACCACAGAGCCTTGTTATGTATTCGAACTTCAGCCTGCAAATCATTCAAACAGCTCCCCTCTACTCCGTAGCGTCTGCATTAAACTCAACCCCTAGTATATCGACCCATCTACTCTGTATCCAGAGAACTAATAACAAGACCCCGGGAGAAACATCCTTCATCCTCATCCCACAGCACGAATGCTAGTTCCGTTATGAGTCCCTTGATGTTATAGTATATCAGAACAGCATCCCTGGGATCGTCGAGAACTGTTTTTGTTTCCGCACTTATCCACAAGCACCTTCCCTTCGCAGAAGATTTAACTGGCTGACCAACCCAATAGGCTTCAGGTGGGCATGATAGTCGTGTTTATTCGAATTTTGTAAATATTGCCAGTGTTGGATGCACGCCTCACGGCCCTCTTTCCAAGCGGTTCTGTCAATGAGCCTCAGGACAATAATGATCACAAATAGTGTGCACTTTTGCCCATAATTTTTAATGCATTCACCTTCCAAGACAACCACTGATCTCGTACGGGCCATTGAAGCAGCCTTCGGGGCAAAACGTTCCGATATTGATTGTGTCTGACCGAGCAGTTTTCCATCCTCATACTTAAATGTCTAGTCCTCAAGGCTCCCGCACAAGGGCAACCCTCGGGGTCAAATAACCTCCACTCACAACGGATAGATTTGAAGAGTATATCAGGTCGCCCCGCTGATTCCTGGTTTGGGAGTTCGTAACAACGAACGTGGCCATTCGGTGGTGGGTGTCGAAAATAGCAATAGATACTCTTACCTATTGAGAAAGTCAGCAGGGAAGGCTTAAGCAAAACCATATGGCTCACCAATCTCGCCTCGCGCATAGCAGCCCGCCTGCTTTTGGAGACGTTCAATATCATCGAGCATTGCCTGTCGGTAAATGTCGCCAAACCTTGGACATCAATTGCCTTTCGGTAGTATTCTTCTATTGCATTCCAGCTCCCCATCCCGATCGGCTGGGAGTTGTGTAACTAATCCTCTTCAGCATTAGGCTCAGGCTCAGGAGTTACCACAGCAGCTGATGTATGGCTATCGGATAACAAATCTCCGGGCGACAAGCCTTCCTGCGCGGACGCCATACTAGTATTCTAGAACAAGCAGGAAGTAGGTCGCATATGGGGTAGACCCTGATATTCTAGGAGTGCGGAAGATTCTTGCCCTGATTATATAGTCCAGGCTTTGCGATAGGTTCCCCAGGGATTTGAACTAGCCTAATCATTTCTCTACAACACAGGGCGCTGCATGGCTCGACCATTTGAAAAGAGAGGGCGCATCTCAATGAGACTCAGAAAGGCTTCCTTGCCGGTTCGAATACCAGTCGTGTGAAGTCAGCTTCGTACTGTCTTGGGTTGCCATCCTCCGCTTCGTGTACCTCTTAAGTTCTCCGGGTGTGCACAGAACAGGGCTAATTAGGCTGCACAGTTGAGGGGAGGCATAATATCTGGTGATAAGCGCTGCATAAACCCTCGATTCGGGGGTCAGAGCGAACCGTGCCCAGTAACTTCAAAACACAATTTGCAGAACTTTGCACCTTGGGCTTGGAGCAAATGGGCATCGAAGATGTCACATTTGCCGTTGCCCTTCACCGCATTCCAGGGAAATCTAGGCGGGCCGGCTGCAATTGTGAGCCTGCCTATTCCTTATGCAGTCTGCTTTCGGGAGAGTTTTGAGAAAGGAGCGTAAAAATTCTTGGATACCCCGTATGGCCGCAAGAAGTATGCAGGTTGTTGCTGGTATGGCCCGTCGTGCATGTGCTTGCTATTCTTGATCACAAATCTTGAAGTGGTGACGGAGTTGCGCCTCCCTAGGCACATGGTTATTAGTATTTGACTTCAAAGCAAAGAGTGAGTATTGTAAAGCCACTGTCTCCCAATGACAGCAGGATTGTAAGTCGGATAAGAGCTCAGCAAAGGTGCCTGGTTTGCGGTGTGGTTTTATCTAGGTAACCTTGTCTGATATCATTACTTACACCTGACTAGGATTATGGACCTCGCAATAAAGCCCCTCATTCCTTCAAAGACCTTTGGACAGCCAATCCGTCTTCAGGTGATATGCGGGAGTGCGCGCCCCGAGCATCGGAAGAAATCCAGGAGAGTACTCCGTATTGCACTCAAAAGCCACAGATTACATCAGCTTTTTCAGCAATGCCCTGGGTTACCCCGTAGGAAATTAGGGCTAGGCGTTGAAACTAGGGCTAGAGGATACGCCTGCTGGGAGTTGTTACATGAGTGGATCAGCCCAAACAGTTGAGTGTCCGCTCAGCGTGGTTTTTACAAAAGTACGTTCTTGGAGGGATCGTGGTTAGCCCGCAGCCATTGGTGGGAACTATCGACGTTGCTTGCCCCCTACTACAATAAAAATCTGGTAGTGGTTGAAAGCGCAAAACCACAAGAGAGACGTTGTCTTGGCTTTGAAATTTCTTGCGAGTCTGGAACGGTCAATGGTCGCTCACTGCGGTTGGTGCGGGTGTGATTGGGATGCGGCTCCGGGGAGACATGGATGGCTCAGCGGGACGACAAAGCTGCAAACCGTCACGGGCGATAAATCCAGAACCAAAAAGAGTCCGAATATGCGGATATGATGTGCAACATAAGGGCATGGCACGACCATGTCAAGGATTAGGTGTTTGTTGGAATATCATTGAGTGGGATTCGGTTATTTTTAGCAAACCCCCTCCCCCATGCTGGACGCGCTAGGTAAAACAGAAAAAGCAACATTTCAATGGTGTTCCATCACACGGGGTTGGCGAGAATTACGTTTCACCAGAAGAAGACCCAGCGACAACAATCCACACAAAGCATCCAGAAGGTCCTTTATCTGGATTCAGACACGAATGTCCCGCTTGCTCCTAATGTACATACATATATGACGGACTACCGTCCGGAGTGCGGAGAATGCACAGATTGTTCCGTCCCGGATCCCTAAAGCCCCTGATACTGGGATGATATTGGAAACACTGGCCGACTTCGATGTCGCCCGACGGTCAGCGTACATGACCTCAGAACCAAGATGCATGTATCGCCAATTGATCACAGACGTACCCTCTGTCGTCTGTCCTGCGAACGGGGTACCTTTATACCAGGCTTGGCTTTGAGGGGGTTGTGTCCGTCACACCCCACAGTGTTGAAGGGTAATAATAATGTGCTGCTCAAGACCTTAAGAATCAAATAAAGGTAGAGCAGGACGGAGGCATCCATAGAGGTGGTCAATTAACATGTTGCATGTGCCGCAGATCCAAAGGGCAAAGATCCATGTTCTCGTGATTTAGGGATGTACACACTGTATGCAGGAGTTCGTATTTATTTTCCCTCCGCGAAACACATAATAAATGATGAACCTTGGAATCCATCATTGCCATCCAATAATATCCGACCTGACCAGGTTCAGCCTGGCGCTCACCCTACTCCCGGGGTATTTTCTGGAAGTGATCAAAGGTAAACCTCAAATTTCCCATTTCAGATCACATTTGACGATTAGTTTATCAGCATCTCGTCAGCCTCACTAATGCCAGTCACGGATTGTCGTGCATAAGGCTTACTCTCGTCGTCCTTGATTCGGGGGCGGATCGATCGATCTCGAGAAAGCATCCAGTGAGACTTCTTTTCTTTTCTTCTAATCCGTCTCCTATCTAAATCACTCGTGCCCCATAGTTAAACGAAAGAGGGGAAACGGAACAGAAAGCTGCTCAAAGGGGGAAAGAAAAAGAAAAGAAAAGAAAAATGGCCCAGGAATTCACCCCTGACGCAGGCATTGACTTTGCCTTGGAAACTCCCCGCGTGCTTCATAAACTGCAGTCACTTACAGCACTTGCACGGTTTGAATTCGAAGCAGGCAAAGGCAATGAGGGGACCAAAATTTTAATGGTGGAATGGGAAGACGATGACGTGACGAGATCGCCCGTTGGATTGTGGCATGTGTCCTGGGACAAGAAGCGTACTGTCCTCCCCGCAGATGATCGGACTAACGACCACGTTCGACGATGCTACTTCTTACTTCCCCCAGGAGCAACCGTACCGCCTGTCATCACCCTCACCTACGAGCCTCCACCAAATTCTGCGGAAACGGTGAAAAAGAACGGTGACTCGATACTAATTAATCCGTTGCCTGCCATATTCTCTCCAGAGCTAGGGGCAACGGCGAGAACGGCGGGGAAAAAAGGGGTCCTACATACTATCTGGGCAAAGAAAAGACTGCAAGTCTTGGACAAAGAGATCAGGGAAGAATCCCAGCATAACTCCGAGGGAGTAGCGCTCGCGATGGCTTTGCAAGAAAAGGAATGGATAGAAGCTAACTTTGGGGTTGTGGCGCGACCTGCGATGCCGGCTTTGAACGTGTCTACTAATATCGGCTCTGTTCCGCTGAGTCCCAGGACACCTTTGTCCCCAGGTGGAAGCAAGCTAAGCGAGAAATTAAAAGGATTGAGGCTCGAAACAAGCGAGAAGGACCTTGCCAGAAGAGTGACAGGTACGACTAGTGCACACCCACCGCCACTTTGGTGTTTAAGTACTGATATCCACGGCGTGGCAGCAAACCCACCAGCGCCCTCTGACACCAACGCAGACTTGCATCCCCTATCCCCAGATGAACCTGACGTCGCAATCTCCTCCTTCAATTCCTTCGCCAATACCCCTGTCCACTTCTCTCCCCAACAGCAGCAACAGCAACAACCACCACCACTAGCAAAGGCCATCTCGCTGGTCCCTCCAGCCTCGATACAAGACCAGCAATCCCAGCTCAACACATTTGCTTCTGTCTCCATGCATCCAATTCATAACTTCAAAAATGGCAGCTTCTCTGGGGCTGCGGAGATAGATTCCGGAGAGGGCCTTTTTGCAAAGGCATTGAGCCCACGATCTCCAGATATCCCGCGGAGCCCATTTTCATTTTCTCCTGAAGAAACACTACCATATGCGATGAAAGCAAGCAGATAACACGTATGAATTCAACATGAACATTAGCCCCATTTCGACTAACTTCCTCATTCTGATTCCTTCTACAATAGTCGAAGTGTGCTATCTTAACAACATGTTGATGAGTAAAAAGGACGAAAATAGGAAAAAGGAGAAACAAAGATCAACTTTGGAAAAAAAGTAAAAAAAAAATAAAATAAAATAAAATAAAATAAAATAAACGGAAGTACGTTCCGTGGTAGGTCAGACCTCCTCCTTTGGGCTTATTCTTCGACTTTTGTTTGGATTCTACGGAGTACTTGATGACTTCTCGTCTCTCCCATATATGTTCAGCTATACTGTTGCGATGAATACAGAGGTGCTTTTCTCCCCAATAGTACGCCCTCTTTGAATAACTCCTCAACAGCACACTGAGGCCTGCATGGTTGTCTGTTTTGGAATATGGGAAATACAGCATTTGTAAATAATATGCCATACCACACTTACTCAATAATCTCTACAATGAAAAAGGAACGATCCAGCCATATAATAACAAAAATTCTCTTTGCAAACATTTCATTCCCACTTCTCATGTTACAATCGACAAACACCCGCACCGCCTTTCAGCAGTGCGCTAACTTTTCCGTACCATTCGCAGCTTTCCCTCAACCATAGCTACTCCGTAGAAACCTCAAATTACTGTTTCTTCTTACTGGCACTAGTCTGTCTTGTGACTTTAGGCGCCTCCTTCTCCTCCTTCTTAGCTTCAGACTTCTTACTCATATCCTCCAACTCCTCCCTCTCCTTTCTCTCCGCATACCACTGTCCCGCCTGCAACACCAACACACCGACCAACACCAGCGCCAAAATGGTATTACTCGCCGCCAACACCTTCAAGCTATCCTCCCTGCCCAAGATCTGCTCTCCCTCTTCGCCAGCAATCTGCGAGCCATACTCGCCAGCCGTAACGATGCGAAGACCCTTGACGATGTTGGCGACATACACGATGACACCGCACATGTAGAGCACGAGACTGGCGCCGTCAAAGAGCATGTTTGATTCGGAAGGGCGGTAGAGTTTCATGATAAGGCCGGCGAGGCCGAGGAACATGACAATGTGGAGGATGCGAGGGATGAGCGGCGGGGAGGCATGAAGGAATTTGAGGTGAGCTTCTACATAGTCGAAGTGCGAAGCCGGAGTGGGGGTGGTGGACCAGAGCAGCGGGTAGTCGTAGGGGAAGAGGGAAAATATTATGCCAAGGAAAAAGGCGGTGGCTATGAGAAATGGCGAGATTTTGTTAGCATATCAGGACTGTTATGTTTTGTTTGTGGAATTGCGTTCAAGTTGAATTTTTTTGCTCGTGGGACGTGGATGCGATAGAATCGGGGGGTTTTAACATACGGCAGACGATTAAGAAGGTCGCAAACGACCCGTTTGTAAATGCCATTGTGCGAGCAGTGTGTGTGTAATATATCTGCCTCAGAGGTAAAAGATGGCGCGCGATCTGAATTTCAGAGCTTTCAGGGAAATATTGCAATCCGAGAGACTGGGCGCGTTTCTAGTGGACTCACACATTAGCCGTCAATGTTGCATAGTTTGGAAGCATGGCACATGATGAGCATATCGACTCCTTCGAGGGCAATGTCTTACGGCAGAGGGGAAACCAGAGAGTAAATAATGGCCTTGAGAGCAAACACAATGTTCGGACGAGCCCACCGCGAAAATGGACCCTTGGCCGATTACTATCACTGCGTACACTATTGGAGGGAAAAGGCGAGAGACGACCAGAGTCGAGAAAAAAGGCGAGAAAAAAAAAAAAAAAAAAAAAAAAAAAACCAAACGCTCACGAAGCTTGCTCCATGAGCTGGGGGGGGTTGAACAACAGTGGCCTGTTTGACACCCAAGACCTTCTAGAAGAGGTTTAATTCCGCAGCACTTCTTGGCGGTTGCAACCCCACAGATCCCCGGCGTGCTCCCGGGTAATTTGTTCTGCCGTCCTCCGACTGACATAATAATCTTATATAAGCCTTGGCGGTGAGAGCGGCGATGGTCCCGTGACAGAGCCAAGCCCACCGGCATCCTCGGCTGCTGCGACATCGCCTCTCGGCGGCCCGCTAGCGGCGACACAAACCGCGTTACAAGGTTGACGATGAACCCTCCACTCAGCGCACAGTCAACGACGCGAGCGAATGCTCCGCTCTGTACTCTGTACTCCGGAATGTCCACGTTTCCCTGCAATGTCCCGTGCTGATGCTGTCGGATCGCAGGTCAAACGGTCCTGGGATCCCGCATGATACCCAGTAGTTTCTCAGTACTCTAGAACTCTGCGTGTAGGCTTCGTTGGTAAAATGTGAACATCCTAACATGGCTGGCGGGCCGGTGAAGCCATAAGCCAGCCGCGATTTCGTTGTCAACTACGGAGTACAGTATCTGCGCTAATCATGTCGGAAATCTTCGGAGGAGCTGTCTAACTGTGCATTAGAGTGGCCAATTAATGCACGGGGGGGATGGTCGAAGAGCTCGAAATGTAGACCTGGCGATGACAGTCCTATGAGAGCAGTGACGCTATGTCCACGAGTCAGAACCTAACCGAACCAAAGGCACGAATCATCATGGAAAGAACCTCCAGCGAGAGTTTAGTCAAACGTCCTACCCGGGCACGGAGTGAAGTCAGTTTTATGATGGAGATGCACGCCAGGCGAACATCGAACCCCACTTACCTTCATCCGCGACAAAGTTTAGATTGAATGCACGCCATTCACGAACGCAGCTTTTTTTTTTTTGGCCCACCAAAGTCGTTTTATGTCAGCACTCCGTACGGAGTACTCCGTACCGTATCGCTTCCAAGCATTTCTCGAACCTTGGGGAGCGATTGGCCCAAAAGAGGACTCCGTACGCCGTACACTGCCTTCAAAGTCTCAGGTGCTTTTCAACTAGCGCTCTTCGTCGAGCATGGAGTCGCGACCAAACGAGGGGTTGTTGCATGTTGGTCGGTGATGTGGAGGTCGATAGGATTATCTAGCGTGCATACTTAGGGCAGGATTCTCGCCAGACGATTAACGACGGAGTATGGAGTACTCCGTTAGTCTTTGTTTTATTCACCCTCAATAATTGCGCACAAGTTGTCTTCCATCGAGTCGTCGCGCATTCCATAACCCCTGGCTCAACGTACCTGACTTGCGAATCCTCCACCCTTCTCGTTCCATCGATACTTTTAACACGCTTGATGTCAACATGGCCAGCTCGCCGAGAATAGAGAGCAATCGATCAACTCCTCAGAGTGGACCAGAGGAGGATCCACTCCAGCACGAAGACGAGGTACGGGAAATCCGCAATTCATATCTTGTTTACACAAATATCGATGATGCCAATGCAACGTCAGCTATCTAACGAAACAAACTATCTTATCAGCTCGAAATTGACGAGTCCGTCGACAACGACTCCGCCTATGAATCCTCCGTCGCAGGGAGTGACAGCACATCCCTGCGCTCATCTATCACCAACTATCAGTATGAGAACGGCCGTAGATATCATGCTTACCATGCTGGGGAGTATTTTCTCCCCAACGACGAGGCAGAGCAGGACCGTTTAGATCTTCAGCACCATCTTTATCGGCTTATACTCGGCGGTTCGCTGTATACCGCCCCAATTAAAGCTCCTCAGCGTGTTTTGGACATTGGAACAGGAACCGGTAAGCATCTAGCTCCTATACCCGCTCCATGCAATGCCATACATTCCAGAGCGCGCAAACGACCACCTCCAGTATAAATTCGAAATCTAAGGCAAGAATCGCCTAGGTATATGGCCCATCGAGTTCGCGGACGAATTTCCGGCTGCGCTGATTGTCGGAACCGATCTATCACCTATCCAACCCAGCTTTGTCCCACCTAACCTGAAGTTTTACGTCGACGATTTTGAAGAACCATGGGATTTTGGCGAGGATAAGAAATTTGACTACGTTCATTGGCGCTCACTCTGCGGAAGCACGAACAATTGGGCGAAACTGTACCGACAGGCATTTGAAAACCTCAAGCCCGGTGGGTGGCTGGAAGTTCAAGAATACGATGCATGGATTTTCAGCGATGACGATCCGGAACTGAAGAAGGCGCCAAACACCCTTCACTGGGTGACACAGTTAAGTGATGTTAGCGAGAAGGTTGGGAAGCCGTTGAATATCGCCCGCTTCCAGAGGCAATGGATGGAAGAGGCTGGTTTCGAGGACATCCAAGAAAAGATTGTAAAGGTAGGCCCGCTTCAAAGATCCTACCCTTGAGCATTTTTATTCGTTTGCCTTGGGTATCAATTACTTTAGCAGTTTGTTCTTATTCTGATCATCCACCTCAGGTTCCCATCGGCCCGTGGGCACGCGACAAGAAACTCAAAGAGCTTGGCCGATTCGAACGTCTACACATGAACGAATCTGTGGAAGCACACTCCATGGCATTCTTCACCCGTGCTCTGAACTACTCCGTAGAGCAGGCAAAGGTGACCTTCGAACTGGTGAAGGGTGAATTCAACGACAAATCACTACACTTATATACCGTTTATCGATTCATCATCGGGAAGAAACCCAGCGCTTAATCTGCTAGCTTAACATGTGTTCTCGAGAATTAGTTATGAATGTCTCTCTGCCTCTCGTTTGAAAATAAATGAGCAGACTTAAGGCTATGAAGTTATGAAGCGATATCGGGTGATTTGACGATCTCTCACACCTCTGAAATATGCCCTTTTGTTGTTTATTTGTGTTGGCGCACTGGGGAAAGCTTCCTGAAAAAAAAAAAAAAAGATTTAAAAAAAAAAATTTAAAAAAAAAAAAAAAAATGAAAATAAAATAAAAGAAAAAAGCGTAGGGAGTAAAATTTGTTCCCATTCCTTGTGGGGGGGTGTTTACGAATTTGATGAAGAGCAAAGTACGCTGCTTTTAGCTTCTAATACCCTTCATAAAGCCCTCATATGTCAATGAGAACAATATCAGAACCGGCATGTCTTGAAAGTGCACCAATCCGTCGCTTGCGCTGGCTCTCGGAGGACAAGCAAACCTAATGTTTCCTATCTCCCCTACGAAAGCTTTGGATAAACAGTCCTGGCAACAACGAGGAATACACATGATTAATATAATTCATCTTTCTGACTTTGCCAATATCAATTGTTCGTGTTTTCCTAAGCAGCAAGGATTGCGGACCAATCCTCCTTCTTCATCCACTCCTCCAAAGTCGTCATTGGACACTCGATACCAGCCTTGAAAAAAAGCAGAGCAAGTCAGCTACCTGTTTCCATCCACAAACGCAGTCTCCATATGGCAGCAAAATGTACTCACGGCTCGAAGATCCTCCGCCTTCAACAATGTCTGATCACCACCATCGTATCCTGGATCGGACGAATATGCAAACATATCAGCAACCTCCCTTCCAAACTCTTTGTCTGGAGCAGCCTCTATGACTTGTTCAATAGTGGCTTGTTCATAGCTCGCAGGGAGGCCGTTGACTAGGCTCCATGTGCGCATGTATTCGCTCCAGCTGCAGATCGACCCAGCCGCCAAGTAACTCTTTCCGGCAGGCATCTTGGATACAGCATAGACGAAGTTGCCGAGATCTTCATTAACAGCGAGATGAGGTACTGGCATATTGGGAGATGTGGGGAAGTACATCCTAAAGCTCCCATCAGACATCTTAAAACGATAATTTCCATCCAGTCAGCGAAACGGGCCGAATATTATCATAACTTGGAGAATGTTTGGAGGCTGAACCTTTTTGAGATATGATTCGGGGGCGAGCTTATAGCTAGACGTGAAATATCCCGTCTGCACGCATGACATCTTCTTCGCGAGATCCGGATACTTCTCATTCACGTAATATGGGAAAATATCCGCTTTAGCATCAAAGTGATACAGCTCATTGAACTTCCCTTTGCTACACTTTCCCCCATGGCTCAACGTCGAGACAATGAAGCCATTTTCATCTAAACTATCAACCGTCGCAGCAGCAGCATCCGCGATATTCTTGCCTTGCCCATACTCGACGTCATAGGCGTATTTACGACAGGAAATCCCCTTTTCGGCAGCACGTTGGCGACAGTCAGGTCGGAAGAAGGGTTCCCAGTAATTCGTTACACTAAAGATGACGTTTGCGCCGGCGAATGCGGGAATAAGCGTGCTCGCATCGTCCAAGTTTGCTTTGACAATTTCGACCCCCTGGGAGGCCAACTTTTGGGCAGCGGGTGAATCAGGGTTACGGGTAAGCCCGCGAACCCGGTAGTTTGGATCCTTGGAGAATCTTTCGGCGACGGACCCGCCTTGGTTTCCAGTGACACCGACCACGCAGATAAGTTTCGCCATTTTGCGTTCAACCCCAGACTAAAGTTGATATCAGAAGGTTTCCAGAAAGAAAAAAGAAAAGGTGTGTGCTTCGTCAAACTTGAAACACTCACAGAAGAACAGTGAAAGAATGACTTTTTGCTGGAAGGTGAGGGGAGCCCAAGATAGTTATTAAATGCTTCTCTAGCGCAAATTTGACGGGTGTGATGAGCCCGGCCAATTGCGAGTAGTTAGTTGGTTACTGAGTTAACTAGAAGCTCGCTTGCTTTTATCTCGTCGGCAATTAATGCCTGAGACGATGCCCGCCGAGGGCGGTGGATTCACTCCTTTCCATCCAGAGAATGATTAAACCTTCACTGTGATGAGACCGAGGGTGCATGAGGGAGAAAGAGTGGACACCGTTGTTCTTGGCTCCATGAGGTCGCAAACTCGCGGGGGTTTATGGGTTCATGGAGAGTGCCCTTCTTACCAGTGGGAAAAACTTCCAAGATCCCGATCCAGCCGCACAAAGCGGGAGCTGCTCTGAAGAACGGCACCCATAATGTGGCCCACGTGGGGTGAGCATGGTCACGGCACGCTAATCCAGGCGATCCGATCCCCGACTCGCCCTAGGACTGCGAGGAACCAAAAGAGTCACCAGCAATACTCCGTACTTCTCGGTTAGTTAACTGAACTAGCCACCGGAACAGCTGCTTAGAGTTTCTGAAGCCAGTCAATGTCGAAGAAACAATGGCGCCTATCCTAAAATATACTAACTAGTTACTAACTAACATAATCCACAAGCGAGCGAAAGATATTTTTTCAACTTCCTCAACCATCCACTTCAATGCGTCAGAATGCCATCAATTTGCAATAAAAATGCAAGATCCTCTATAGAAATAGAGGGCAGGATTGAACTTGCTATTTCTACTCTTAAAAAGCAAGAAATTAGCTCAATTGCTGAAGCTGCACAGCTATTTAATGTGCCTTATACTATCTTATATCATTGAGTAAAAGGAAGATGTGCATGAATCAGTCTATATGCAAATTCAACTAAATTAACTGAGCCTGAAGAGAATCAGCTAGTTCAATGAATCCTAGATCTAGTTAAACAAGGAATTCCCCTCTGACTGGCATTTGTTGAGAATATGACCAATCAATGTCAAATCTGATTAAACACTGTACAGAGCTCAAATACTGCTATTTCAGACACTATAATCACAAGCAAGCAAAATGTGAAGATAGAAAGATTATTCAGAATTAGTTTAAAACTCTGAAGAATATAATTACTGAGCATGGAATCCCAATAAAAGATATCTATAACTGTAAGGATTCACTGCGAACCCCTTACACAGACAAACAGCACCTGTGAAGGCCAGAGGCCTCAGCTTGCAAGCTGCTGGGAGTTGCATGTGTCCTCACAAGGCACTAAGTCACATGCTTGCAAGCACACATAAAAGACCATCACTGTGTGAACCCCTTGCTGGAAGCCAGTGGCAATCTTGTTTACAAGTTGTATATAGTTGCCAGAATACAGATCTTTTACCTCACATACTCTTTTTCCATGTATATTCCTCCTAGAGATTCATTGTCATGCTGATCCACATGTACAATCCTCACAATAACTTTAATAAGACTGGATTTGCAATGAGCCTCTGCACAACTATCAAGATTATTACTAGTACTAAGTACTATAGTCAAGCAAAGCTTCTACAGTCTGAAAATCAAGAATGGATTACAGTAATTAAATCAGTCAATGTCTCAGACTGGGTCTTGCCTCCATACATCATTCTTAAGAGACAAAATCTACAGAAAGACTGGTTTGACAGAGTTTTAGCTAGCTGGAGACTTGATATTAGTTCTAATGACTGAACCACAGATAAGATAGAAATCAAATGACTGACTAGGCTATTTATTCCTGCTGCAAATCTACAGAGAATTGACACTTATATACTTCTTATTCTGAATAGACACAACAGTTATCTTACCCCAGAATTTAATCATATCTGCAAGAAAAATAAGATTATTTCTCTGTGCATGCCAGCACATTCATCTTATCTCTTGCAGTTTCTTGATATGAGTATTTTTGCAGTTTTGAAGTGGGCATATGACAGTCTAGTTGAACAGCAAATGTGACTTGGAATCAATACTATTAAGAAGATAAATTTTCTGAATACTTATTCTACAGCACATACAGAGGTCTTTAAGACTCAGAATATTTAAAGTGACTTCATGGCTACTGAAATAGCCTTATTTGACCCAGATTAGGTTCTTCAGCAGCTGGATATTCAACTCTGAATCTCTACTTCCCCAGCTAGTGTGAGGATCGTACGTGTGGATCAGCGTGACAATGAATCTCTAGAAGGAATATATGTGGAAAAAGAGTACATGAGGTAAAAGGTCTGTATTCTGGCAACTATATACAACTTGTAAACAAGATTGCCACTGGCTCCCAGCAAGGGGTTTGCACAGTGATGGTCTTTTATGTGTGCTCGCGAGCATGTGACTTAGTGCCTCATGAGAACACATGCAACTCCCAGCAGCTCGCGAGCTGAGGCCTCTGGCCCTCACAGGTGCTGTTCGTCCATGTAAGGGGTTCGCGGCGAATCCTTACAGCTAGCTAATCTAGCAACTTAGTGTCATTCTGGATTCTACAAACATCTCACAACCCCCAGCAATTGCATAGGCAGGCAGATAAGATCAAGAATCTTATGAAGCAGGGGCTTGAGAGCTCACTCCAGGGTTTAGTAGAAGAATTTGATCAAATTATCAATACCTGTAAATATGGAATAATCAACACCACTATTATGAAGAAGTAATATCAGGATATATTTACTGCAAATGAGAAAGAGAAGCAAAAACATACAAGATCTAAGCACTGAATTCAATATGAAGAAGATCTAACTAGAGAAGAGATTGCTGAGCTTGTTATTCCATCTGCTCAACCTGTTGAACAGTCAGTTGCTCAACTCTCTAAGCCTGCAGTCTCAGACCCTGCATCATATTCACAGACACCACTAAGATGTATGAACTGCCATATTTTAGGTCATACAAGAAGAAGCTGCTGCAGTCCTATTGCAATGTAATTTAATCTATTTAGGAGTTGTTGAGTCTAGATATTTTGGGTTAAATTCTAGTTAGTTGAGATGCCTTAATTTAATCTTTCACTCGCTTGCGGATTTCGCTTGCTTGTGGATTACGTTAGCCGACAATGATGACATAATACTGTTATTCCAACCTGATCTCATCGGTGAGATGGAGTGCTTGCTGCAAAGAAGGGTGGTATGGGCCTACAATCTGTGCCATGAAATTGGGCGATTAACTCGTGGATCATCGCCAGTCGTGCGAGGTTGACGCCTCCATGGCTTGCGGCCCACGGAGTCGGTCTCCTTTGCCGGAGTCTTTCAACGCCAGAGTACTTCTTACCCGGTACGAAGAGGAGGAATATGAAAGGTGTCGGCAAGGTGGAATGAAGAGGATTCTTTCGTTGTGCCAATGATTGCTCCGGCCCACTGTCAGTTTGTCTTCCTGCTTTCGTCCTCCAGCCACTCCTCCCAAGTGAAATGCCAGATGCCCACAATCCGTGAGCGGTCAAGCTTTGAACCTCAAACCACATCTCAATTCCGACCTGAGCAATTCATGCGCAATTTATGCTCTCTTAGTGCTCCCTGGGTTGGCCTTATGCACGGTGAGATTGAAGCACTTCAAAATGCATGGGATCAACTCTATGGGGAAAACCAAGATGAATGGATGTCTCAGAGACGAACCCTATGTTGTGTCGCCTCCAAGATGTCGAACTTGATATTGCGTTTGTGCAATGGTAAAAAATGCAGCGGATCGAAGAGAGAAACCATGCCTCTCCCGTCGTGATCAAGGATGTGTATGGCCATATTAAAGCTTTCTACCGTGGACTCCATGGAAAGTTGCTAGAAGCTCCATTGAAATTCTCTGCGAAGGGGGATACGTCTTCGAACCATTCAAGATGTCGGGCTATATTTCCCAAGCCGAACTTCATTAACCTAAAAGCAACAGCTGAAGTGATCAAAATCAGGGCAAGACATTGCCTCGATGGCGTTTCAGTGTGAGCTTAATTCCCATAATATCCTTAACGCAGCTCTTGGTATCTTACCAGGAGATGCATATGCATTGATAATGCTTGGAGACCACGGTCTCTTCGAGGATGACGAACGTGTTTTATGTGCAGCTGAGCGTTCGGAGGCAGTTTAAATGTTATCGTTTCCACCTCCAGACCCCTTCTAGAGTCTGCTTTGTGGAAGAGAACAGGCCTAATCAATTTCACACTGTCAGTCGTATCCGGATACGTGCTGCACTGCGGGAATATCAGCTTCGAAAAAGCGTGAAAAGGCTAAACCCCCGAAAGTACCACTATCGACCATGGTATCAAAGGCAAACGGGCTCGGTTAACCCAAGTATTCTCCGACAAAAGCCGCTCCGGCCGCATGTTGTGCTCTATTTCCGATTGACGATCAAGTCCTAGAAGATCAGCCCTTAGACTGTGGCTCAGGCGTATCTGCTGCACAGTCTCTTCCGAACTCGAGGATTGTTTTCAGTAAGGGCCATTGTGCACACTATCCGTGCCCAATGCAGGCAATGCCTCGATTTTTGAGGACCCAGCACAGCCCACTGATGTCTGTGAAATGGATGTGCTCAATTCGCGTATGTCGTCAATGTCGAACTTGGGCAACAGTACGAGAAGCTTCTTGAATTCTGCAATAGCCAGCGGACATCCTTCGGCTTGCGTTGTTCTGTGCCCCGATATGTGCAATGGTACTTGGCTCAGAGCACCCATCAGGTTCCGCCCAGACAACAGGATGTGCTCAAGTAGCCTGATATATGCGAGTCAATGTTCTTTGCATTATAACAGTATTGGGCCGCTGAACAAAAGTGTCAGATGGTGATGACTGAATGCTTTCTTTCAGCCTCCTCCCCAAACTTTCACGTGATTGCAACTGCTTACTAGATCTGTCATGGAAGCTCCCGCGACGCGTTCAACTCACTTTGTTCAGTCTTCTCGCTCTCTTCACAGTCACAGCGACACTCTGGCTGCTCCGGCTGGTTATCAGCTGGCAAGAGCGAGTGTGCCTGACTGCATAGCACTGTTGTGAATGCAATAGGAAGATGTGGTTTTAGCTGCTTGATTCCGAAAGAACGACCTCAGAAGCTATAAAACTGGGTGTTCTCCCCTCCTTGGACATACATCCTCTTCTTTTCTTCAGCTCCCTTTCGTACCCTGTTGTTATCATCCACTCATACTCCACCTTCTTTCCATCCTTCTATCTGCAGTTTAGGTAGAAAAGTTCGTGGCAATCATGGCTGCTGACAAGAAGACGATTGAAGAGTTTTGCCGCAGGAAGTACGACTACCTCATAGTTGGTGGGGGGACCGCAGGTCTTGTTCTCGCTTCAAGACTCTCCGAAGACCCCTTCGTCACCGTTGGCGTGCTCGAAGCAGGGGAGTTGCAGCTTGATGGTCCCACTCTCAGGAAGTCATCAGTCGGCTTTTACCCCATGGTAGAGGATCTAAACTATGACTGGGGGTTCCAAACTGAGCCCCAGGTTCGTCACTTTCCCTCTTCCATGTACGAGGACATATACTGATACATATCATCAGCGACATGCACACGGGATCGTCTATGACTTGCCTAGTGGCAAAATTCTAGGAGGTTCGAGTGTCACCAACCACAACTTATTCACTAGGGGATGTAAAACCGAGTACGACGACTGGGAGACTCTGGGAAACCCGGGTTGGAACTTGCAGGGCCTACTGCCTTATTTCTCAAAGGCTGAAGCTCAACAACCCTCCAAGAATGGAAACCCTACTTTCGGGGATGCCCACGGTTCCAAAGAGAGTGAAGTTGCGAAACAAGTTGTGACCTCCACTGCCAACGATATAGCGAAAGGTAATACCCTCTGGCACAATGCCTGGGCTGAACTGGGTATATCTGGTGGTCCGAAACAGCCCATGGAAACAATTGTGAGCTCCGTTGCAGGCACTCGAACCAGTTCCGTGGAGGCTTACTACCTCCCGGTCATGCATCGGGGCAATTTGCATGTCCTGACCACCGTGTTGGCGTCATCTGTGACATTCTCCACTAAAGAAGGAAGCAAGCTGATTGCCACTGGAGTTGAATTTCTCAATTTCGACGATAACTATCGATGCGAAGCTGCTCTGGAGGTGATTATCTGTAGTGGTGCCGTTATGTCTCCCGGGATCCTTGAACGGTCCGGCATCGGATCGAAGGACGTCCTTGATGAACATGGCATCAAAACGCTGATTCACAACTCTCGAGTTGGTGAGAATCTTCAAGACCACGCTTATACGTACTCTCTGCTGGAATTGGAGACCGAAGAGCATTCATTGGACAAGAATTTCGGTAAGCTTCAGATTGGAGAGACATCAGTGAAGGAATCCGATTCGTCTTCCGCTACCGGTTTGACTCTCTCGACATTCGTCACTTACGAGCATGCCGCAATGGGTCGCGTCCCACCGCCTCCTGAACTAATCCTGGATGCCATTCGTAGGACACCTTTGTTGCGAAAGCAATATGACCTCACCCTCAGACGCTTGCACGATCCCAATGTTGCATGCTTCCAGTACCAGTTTGTCCCTGGTTATGCCTCTAGTCTGCTCCCAGAGCCCACTCCGGATGACGCGAATAATTTCGTGGCAGTTTTGTATTCGATTTCAACGCCTTTCTCGCGTGGGGCGATTCATATTGAAAGTTCGGATCCGCGTGACTATCCCACAGTTGACCCCAGTTATCTTGAACACCCCCTTGATATGAGACTTCTTAGAGCAGCGACCCGCTTGTCTCTTGATTTAATCTGCACTGGTGCTTTGTCCAGCGTGACATATGATATTGTTGTTCCCTATCAACCAATGATAACAGAGCAAAACTATGACGAGCACGCTTGCGAGACATGTGAAAGTTACTTTCACCCTGTGGGTACATGTGCCATGATGCCTAGGGAAGATGGTGGAGTGGTTGATCCTAACTTGATTGTATACGGCACTGAGAATCTTCGTGTTGTGGATTCAAGTATCATCCCCTTACATATCTCTGGAGATATTGAGTGGACTGTTTATGCAATTGCTGAGAAAGCGGCGGATATGATTAAGGACCAGCGACACATGATTCAGAAAATTATCTAAGTGATGGCACAAAGAAAGGGGGGAGGGTCTCTTGCACACAAGCCATTAAGCATGGTTAAGGGGATGCAATCTGATTTCTGTTTTCGGGCTTGCAAGGATGAAAAACTAAAGGAAAAGTTTTAAATATGCTTCTTACCTGTACTTTACAAAATCAATCATTTTAATAATAGTTTCTATGCAGCCCTAGAAAGAAGTTCAAGCCATGCATTTGTTCTTAAGCATCCAGTGTGTTATCAAAGGGATTGAGCCTAGTAAACACGCCGAGCAATCTATCTTATCATGACTATCTAGTTTTCAACCCATTAAAACACCTGCAAACTCCCTATCCTACCATTGAAACAACCACCCCAAGCCACCCATCCGCATACCCTGCACACTTCACCACCTCCTCCACCGGCGCACTCATCGGCACTACAGCCCCATGCAGGACCGGCTTCGCCAGCATTGGCGTTCGCTTACTCGGAAACAAGCTCGGAAGCAAAGAGTTCAACGCGGTGCCGATCGTCTGGACCTGCGGCTGCATCTGTCTGGAGGCGCTGCTGATACTGGATGACGGGGATGCGGTGGGCTGTATGAGCGGTGGGATCGGGGACTGGATGACTTTCAGAGAAGGGGATGGGGAGTCTGGTGGAGCGGGGAGGAAGATACGGATGGGGATGTTGCGGAAGGGTGTGGGAGGGGTGGGGAGGAGGAGGGTGTTGTGGATGCGGTGGTAGGCGGGGAGGTTGTCTGGAGAGATAAGGATATGTTTTGGTTAGTCTTCCTTTTTCTTTTTTCTTTTTTCTTTTTTCTTTTTTTGGGCAAATCGGAATGGGTGAGTAGTTGTTGATAGGTTGGTAAGATCCTTTTTCCGAGGGAGATGAGTGGAGGAATATACAGGGAGTTTGTAGGGTGGGAGAGGGAGAGGGTTTACGTACGCTCTTCGACACTTTTCCATAATCCTGATGAGTCTTCTTTAGAGAGGGCCATGATGCGCTTCGCAGTCCCGTTCCGTAGACAATCAGCCTCCTTGACGCTATTTATAAAGGCATCGTGTAGAATTTTGCCCTCTGGATCAAGCCGGATGAGATCTTGCTCCGGCCAGTCGTGGAAATGGACCATCAGCCTCCACGGCAGGGCGTCACGCTTGAATTCGTGGTCGTGGCCGTGGTCGTCGTCCTTTTCCCCTTCTGCTCCGCTCTCTGATATGTTTTCACGCGTGCCGCCCCGAACATAGTGCTCACGCTCACTGCCAGGTGACGATAAGGACTTGGATGTAATAGGCTCTGCCCCAGCGTAAAGATCATACAGCAGACCAACTGGATAATGCCATTTAAGCGGAACACCCTCAAAGGAAAACCAGCCGTCATGGGCCTGAACGTCGGGGTCGATGAGAGAGGACGAGAAAAACGAAAATAGCCTGGGTAGAATAAAAGGAAGATATGAGAGTCGAGGAATGGATATCTGCGCGGAAATATTAGTATTTGCACCGTGAAGAACAAATATAATAAGCGGGGGGGGGAAGAGTATATATAATCATCGCCGGAATGTAGTAAATAAATACGACAGCTGTATTATCGTACAATGTATGGATCGGATTGATCATATATCCTGCACTCCGACGGCGACAGAACTATTTGCAGCGGAATCCGGCCCTGCCAGACTCGCTGCTGGATGGCACTCGTCGAGGCTGACGATGCTGCCATCTCTGGAAATGAGATCCAGGAATAATCTTCGTTGCGGAGGTAAGGCTCTCAGTGTTTTTTACTCTTGAGGTACTCTCACTCTCTCCTGTATGTGGGTAATCTCGATTGGCGGATAGCTAGATGATCTACTTGACTTGTTAGCCTGATTTGATAGAATAGCTGGGACTCGCTCACAAAATAAGTTCCTATTTCATCATTTCATCCCTTAGGATCGTGGTGGTTGTTGAGCTCCGAAGAAAGGTTAAATGCATTTCGGCCTGATAAGTTGGTTTGCCATGGCCGTTATCGAAACATTTAAACGTTGGCGCGACGCTACAAACACACTTTCTAGCAGCCGTGAAAGTGCCTTTTATGTCCTGTGGTAGCGCGCAACTGAGAAACTTTTGTTAAGGCTCTTCGAGCTATAAAAATTAAAATGGCATATCTCATTATACGCAAAATGCAGCCGATGTTGGCGTACAAAACTTGCAACCGCCAGACTTCAAGACTAACAGGGAATGTCATAAATTCTCTATTCTATACAAAAAAAGGGGGTGTAATCTTCGCCATCTAGCTCCTCTACAAAGCGTACAGAGACCCCGCTCATGCGCAGCATTATGTCCGCCCAATCCACCGCCCCCCCCGGTCCAAAGCGCAGGGTCAGTTGGCAAATTTCGCCTGTAGCCGAAATTACAAAACGTGTGGCGAGTTTAGAAGGGCTACATAACATCAAAGAGCAATCAGCAAATCTTCGTCCGCTCAATAGCAGTTATCGGAAACTCCAGAAACCATCACATTCGGATACGGGAAGGGGGATAAGTCACTCACGTTATCCTCTGGAGCAATATGTCTCTCCCAGTAGCTTCCGATGACGGGAATGTTCATCAAGATATCCTCCCGGACACGAGGGACGTCACCGAGGAAGAACACCGCGAAGATACCCGCTGCAACACCGAATCCGGAGGCAATTGAGCCGCTGTATCGGACACGCGCGGAACGGTTAGCATAGAGATGCTATCGCAATGCCGACGAGATGCTGGGGTATGTAGGGGGACGCGACAACGTTCCGATGGGAGTAAGAACTTACAACTTTGTGGCGTGGGCTAGGGTGAAACCCTTGAAGTGAAGGGGGATAGAGTATCTAGATATGGCAGATTAAGCCGTTAGCCCCGGGTTGCTCTCTTCATTCTCGTAGCCACACGGTCATATCGGCGCAAGGCAGTCTATTCCGGGGATTTTTTTTTGGGGGGGGGGAAGAAGGAAATAGCCGATGTAAGTCCTCCACACAGGCCACATCGATTCGAAAGCCAACGTATTTTGTCCTCTTCCGGTGCCCAAGCTCAATATACCCGTCCACACACTCTTCGCATCTGCTCAGCTTGATCTAACGCCCTCCCCCAATTGCCGCAGAACAAATCCAATCACACCACCCCGGACAATACCCCGCAACGCCACGCCAAGCAAGGTCACAAAAAGAGCAACGAGAAGAACGAAAGATCGAACTCACCTCGGCGCATACGGCGATCGATAGGTGCCGAAGGCTGGATTTCTGGTCGCTCTCGGAGATGCCTACGACGCCAGAAACACATCATAAGTATAGCCCCATAATTTTCCTTAAAGCCGAAAAAAAAGAAAAAAAAAAGAGTAAGGACGAGAAAACTCCGAATTGAGTCCCCCAAATCTTTCCGCAAAACCGCGGGTATCTTTTCCCCCAAAAAAACCATCCGACACAAAACCCCTTCCCAATACCAACAGCAGACTTGGAGAGAGAGAATCGAAAGAAAGACGGGGGGGAACAAGAAAGCAATCAACTTACCATTATTTCTTATGGGTATTCTAACACGACGCTCGATCCCGTTCTGCTTCGACGAAACGCAAGTTGGGAAAAGCGGAATCTCTCTCTCTCTCGCGGATTTCAACCTGGCGAAGATCAATTCGTTTCCGAAAGACCTGATTGGGCAATGGCGTTCTTGGCAGGAAATGTGATCATGTGACATATATCAAATTCCAGAGATCGAAAGTGTACGAGAGACAGAAGATGAAGAACAATCTTTCTTATCAATTTGGTACTTTTGAAAATATATATATATATATATATAGTTGTTAAAACAGTAGTAAGAAATTTGTCTTTTGATAAGGGGGTACTCATACGAAAAAAAAAGAAAAAAAAAAAGGTTTCACCAAAGATTTCACGCCCAACGCAGACAAGCTATAATAAAGCATAGAATAGAATCAAGCAAGCAAGCAGCAATTGTTTATCCCGCCCTCGAGTGAAGTGGCATTACAAAAAAAAAAAAAAAAGGAGCAAAGGGACAATCAAGAATCATATACATCAAAACACAACATAAAACAACCCCTTCCTCCCTCCCTCTCATCTTTGTCCCCGCAGCACCCCCATCCACGCCTGTCTGCTTCCTTCAAAACCAAACCCCCCGCCCCGAACTCCTTGAGCAGAGACGGCCGGCGTATCCAGAAATTCAGGATGCAGGAAATGCCCAGCAATGGGAGCTAAAAAGAAACTGCTTTCGTATTTTCCAACAAAAAAAAATTGGAGGGGAGAATGGGAGGTTTGGTTTAACACAGGAAAGTAAAAGATGGATACATTTCCTTTCAATTTCTTTTCTTCTTTTCTTGCTTCTGTCTTTTCCTTCTCTCTCTCATCCAACATCTCTCACACATACGCGCATGTAACTTCACATCTCAACGTGTGTAGGAGACGAAGGGGAGAGTATAAGAGGGAAGGAGCATGCAAAAATTCTAGGATATTCCGCAAGGCCTTGCCACCAATATATGGTAAAAAGAGAAACAGAGACAAACCCAGAGGTTAAAATATGCTAGAAGCAAAAAATAAAATAAAATAAAATAAAATTAAAAAAAGAAACTACAAAAAAAAAAAAAGGGACACAGGATAAAAATAGTAATAATACTTATAAAAAAATATCATATGCTGGTTTTTTAAGACGGCCGTGACAAGACATAAAAACTTGGTAATCTGCCATAAAATGGTATCTGAGGACCGGAATATAAAAAGACACTTAATAGTCCCTCAGCAATGAAAAACGAGAAGCGAGAGCAGAAAATAAGACTGTGGAAACAGCTTTTCTTTTGCCATTCGCAAGGGGACGAAACAAAAAAAACAGAAATATAAAATAAAATCAGCGAAACAAAACTCTATTGCAAAGGCGAAGAACGAGTGCCTGAGAAACCCAGTAGATAGAAAAAAAACAAAAACCACCCTCCCGGTAGATAAATGTATGTATACGAGAGAAAAGCCACAAAGAAACGATGAGAAAAGTTTTGAACGACATGCACCCAACACATGAAATATGCCCCGAGTCTATAAAAATGCTGGTGTCCGAATTTTGCCTTTGGGAGATATGCAGTCGACTCGCGCCCTGCGCACGTTCGACCGGGATAAAAAGTGGGAAAGATTTTAAGCCGTTTTGCAACAAGGATTTGAAGATGCGGGCGGTGAAATAGAAACGACAAGGAAAACATTTCAGACAGAACTTGGGTACAGATCACCAAATCAATTGGAGCATATTTCGTAGCGTGATAGGATGGGGCCCAGTCGCCGTTAGGCCGCGGCTGGAATTGTGATAAAACCGCCACGGTGCTGCCGAGAAAGGGGCTTGCTCTGATTTTGGCTTTCGCGCCGCTAAGTATCGAACGGATCAGGATCGCACACCGTAGAACTGTCGAGGCCCTTGGGCCAATTGACTCGAAACATTTTCCTGAATTCCCCCACGATTCTTTCTTCAGTAGGCATTACTGTATCGAAGAAAAGACCTTCCGACGAGCGGATCCGAGAACGCTCACCCAGAACGGTAGGCAAAACTCCAATACAACACGCATAACCGAAAACTTTTGAGAATCGCACACACGCATCTAACAGGCCACAAGCGAGAAACATATGGCTCCTGATAAATCCGCACAAAACGTTCGAATTTTTTGTTTTATATTAAAAAAAAATTCATATAAACCGGCCGTCAGAGATTCCTCGAGCTGCTATTCATTGCCGCGCCGCTTGAACGGTTCCTATACAGTGAAAAACCAAGAACGTCAACGAGACGATTCACATTTGCCTTTTTGCAGCGAAAGTATGTCTCTTGAGATTTTGTTAAACCTTCGAGTGGGGTGGGGGGGAACCTGACGTACCATCGCCGCTTAGAGTCGTAGAAGCCAAATAGAGCCCATTCAGGCCACTATTTTCCTGATGTCCGCTCGTCGCCGTAGGGTAAAACTTTCGATCGTTATCCATCTGTGCTCGCATAGCATCGCTCACGGGAGCCATCGTGGAGGGGAATACGGGGTTCATATAGTTCTCGTGCGCACCCGGCTGCAGCATGGTCGACCAATCGATGTCGCCGGTATTGTTGCCGTGATTATTATTACCATTAGCGTTATGTGCCGCTGGAACAACATGTCGTTTGCTGTTGTCAGGCAGAGTAGTAGCAGCAGCAGTAGTAGGCGGTTTTGTAGAGTCGATCGGTGGAAGACCGACGTGGTTCAACTGGCCAGCTGTGTCAGTGCCCGGCTGCATCACCAAATGATTATGTTTGGGTTCAGCCATCCAGGGTGCTCTCGGATGCGCCTGGTTAGGATTGAACGCCGGATCAGCTGGACCGCGGTTCAATCCATTGGCCGAGGGCATCGGATAGCCAAGATGGTGATGATCCGCGAACCTGGGTTGCTGTGCGGGAGCCACTGCAACCCCATTCACGGCCCCTTCCCCAAACGTAGTACCGACAATACCATTAGGAGTCGAAAAGGAACTACTAACATCACCCTGGACGAGCTTTGGAACAACGCCCGCTGCTTGAGCTCTTTTCAGGTGCGCATGTGGATGCGACAAATGGCTAACTCCGGTTGGGTTCCCTCGTCGCAGGGAGCATTTCTGGAAGTGGCGTTTTAAAATATCGCTGCGAGAAAACGTATCCTTGCAAAGCACGCACATATAAGGGCGATCACCGGTGTCTATTACAAACGCAATTGAAGAAAGAAAAAGATCGTCAGACCCAGCGAATCCCAGGAATAGCAAAGAAAGGGTTGAAATAATAAATTAAATGACCGGGAAAAAAAAAAAAAAGGGCGAGCACTTACGGCGTAAGAGATGCCGCTTAAGGTGCTTCGCATGCAAGTAAGTCTTATTGCAGTGCGGACAGGGAAACTTCCCGTCTGCATCCTTGGCAGGGATGGTTGTTCCCTTGGTGCCATTCACACCGTTTGTAACCGCAGCGCGACCCGGTACACTCGGAAGAATACCTCTCCGGCCCTGGGTTCCTACCACTTGTGTCCTCGGAGGATCTTTTGGCATGTAGGGGCCAGAGGTGGGTGGCAGTCCTTCTGCGCCAGCCCATACGGGTTGCTTGTTCTCCCCGTTTGTAAACGGGGCCAACGGCACAGCGCCATACTCTGATCTTCTGTCACGCGGTGGCGCTGGCGCGATTGGTTGCGGGTATGCTTGGGTGGCTGTCGTGGGTGGGAGCATATGATGTGGCTGGAATTGCTGTGGATGTTGGTGGCCAAGAAAAGTTGACGGTGGCAAACTGTTGACGGGCGCATGCGTAGTCAACGGCGCCGACGATACCGCATAAACATCGGTGCCGGAGGTTGTCGGGTATCTAGGCATGTCATTCCGGAAAGGCTGGAGATACGTATGCTGAATTGGCGACGGATTCTGATGGTGTTGCAATGGCGGCAACGTATGCGGTTGCGCCATCGCGTACGGCGAATGCATCTGATATTGGTGGAGATTCGACAATGGCGGAGGGGGCGGCGGACCTTGAGGGGGGATGCTAGCGGAGGGAGGTCTCGAGACTTGAGGTCGAAGATTGGGATCCATGACAGGCGAGAGAGGAAAGAATGAAAAGTATCGAACCGTTGCTCAGTTGGAACGTCCAAACCATTGATCGCCCAAGCTCTGCAAGTCCCACTTAGTGTCTGTAGCGACAGGAATCAACCGTCGGGGCGGGGTTGATGGACCTAGAAAGAAGGCTGGGGTTAGCTCATCGACCTCCGACGCGGGGTAGGTTATTTTCGTCTTGCACTGCGCGATCGAGAACAAAAAAAAAAAAAAAAAAAAAAAAAAAACGATTGTACCAATTGCTGGGAAGATGTACGCACCTGAAACGACGAAAGTAAGGTTTGCGACTGGGGAATCCCGGTGTGCCTTAGCGAATGAGACACGACAAGGCGAGAAGCAGTTTCGTGGAGTCGAGCAAGGCAAGGTTGGTTGGTTGCTTGACTTTGCTACCGGGTTGCTAGGGCGTTGCTTGGACCTGCTAGAGATAAGAGCCGGAGCACTGGTGTTAGACTGACGACGAGATCCACCCCGGAAGGAACAGATGTGGAGGAGACGAGAGAGAGCGAAGGCGGGGATTGGCACAATTGAGGCAGAGGCGAGAGAGAGAGTGGGAGAGGGAGAGGGAGAGGAGCAGAGATGATAAGAGAAAGGAGAGTGGCGCTCCGTGGTACCGTACCCAAACTCCACAGCGAATGACGCGATGAGCTTTCTTTTTTCAGAGACGCCGGCAGGATCAGGGCGGAGTACAATAAGGGTGAGAGAGGGAAAAAATAAGCAAACGAAGAAAAATTTACCAAAAAAAAAAAAAAAGGTGAAAACGATGGAGCAGCCAAGAGGGGCTGGAGAGGGGTAGAGGGTTCAGGAACGGCCAGGAACAAGAGAGTGGACTTAGGAGGGCTTCGTCAGGGTAAAAAAAAAAAAAAAAAACGGACAATGTATTTATTTTTTTTTAATTTTTTTTTTTTTTTGGCTTTTTTTGGGCGGGATGAGTGGGAACCCGCTTTTGCCTTTTTTTCTCCTTTTTTCCCTTCCGTCTTCCGGCTCCGTGGTTTGAGGTGAGGGTCGAAGGGAGGGGGCAAAAAGAGCGCGAGAGAGGCAGAGAGAGAGGGTGGGTTGGGTGTGAGCGCGCTGGAGGTGTGTGGGAAGGGGATCCGGAGCTCTGGAAATATCCACAGGTCGCGTGGTGGGTCTTTTCCTCGCCTAAACCACCCAACTTTCGAAAACAAAGCGAAAAAGGAGTGCGAGATGGGGGGAGCAGAACAACGGTAGTAGTTAAATAGCAGGCCACTGTGGCGGATCACGGAATGGGCAAAGGGGGCAATATGGTTGGGTGTTCGGGGTTCAGAAAGATAGACAATCCAAGGTACGTGTTCTAACTCTCCCTTTCTTTTCCTTTTTTCTTTTTTCTTTTTTTTTTTTGTTTTGCCGTCTTCGCGTGGCGAGTGGGAAAAAAAAAAGGTGCAAAAAAAAAAAATGGAAAAAGAAACGCAAAGTAGAGTAAAGGATAAAATTACCTGAAGAATCGAACCCGACGACAGGCCTCCCGAAGAAGCAGATATGCAGGGAGAAACAGACGGAGACGGGATAGTGGAATTTACCCGATAGCCGCCACAAGGTCGAAACCGTTGAAAGGTGGCTTGCCGACAAGACTTGCGGGATCAACAGACCAGGCGGGAACGAGGACGGTGACGATGGGGTGGAGGAGGGGAGGGGAGGGGTGGGAAGGACGAGCAAGCAGGGTGGGAAGATGGGGCCGCAAGCACGCAGGAATCTTGGGAAAAAGAGGAGCAGGGCATACACAAAGAAAGCGGAGCACCGGGCGGTGATAATATGATTGACGGGGACGAGGGCAGGAGTGGGCGATGATAGGTGAAATAAAAAGGAAACACCGCCGGAGAGGAGCCTTTCAGAAGCAAGAAATACGAGGGATAGGTAACGATGCCGAAACAATTGTCAAGGAACGGGGGGAAGAGAGGGCGGGGGTGGAAGGGATCGAAAGGTTTACGGGAAAAGAAAAAAAAAAAATAGAATAAAAATAAAAGTGGGCTCACCTGTTATCTCTTCGGAGAAAAAAAAAATAAAATAAAAATAAGAGATGAGGCAGAAGGGGGGGGAAGGAATGGAAAGGAAAAAAAGAGGTGATGCAAGTACCTTCAATTGCAGGTCGCACACAACACACACACTCACACACACGCGCGCACGCACGCACGCCGAGACAGCTAACTATTCACTTATGGAACAGACAGGGAGAGGAGATAAAAGAGAGAAAAGAGAGAACAGAAAAGAAAAATATGAGAGAGAGGGGGGGAGAAAGAGGGAGAGAGAGAGGGGACAGGGGAATTGACGACAGAAGACACGCGCACACACAGACACACACACACACACACACACAGAGCACACCGGCGCAATTAGAGCGAAGCAGACAAGACCTGAGGGAGAATGCAATTGGAAATAATGGCAGGGCCAGGCAGGAAGACCAGTCTAATCACCGCCCGGAGCAGGGAAGGCTGGCAGGGGTGTGCTGGCCAATCGTCGCCCGGCAACACCGAAGTCTCTTTTCCCTGCAGGAGGCAAAACACCCAAAACCGAACAGTCACTTCGGGCAGGCGGGTCGTGGCTATAAGCAATGTACTCTCAGACACTAATTTGGCGGGCAAGGTACATCCCTCCCCCCTCAAAAAAAGTATCACAGAGTACTCCCTACACCCTGTACCCTTCCGTGTATCGACAAGAGTACGAAATGACGAACGAGAAATAAATATAAATGGTAAAAATTAAAAATAAGCCTTTCAAGTGAATCAATCAATTAAGAAATTAAAAAAAAAAAAAAAAAAAAAAAAAAAAAAAAAAATACATCCTGCTGGACGTCGACTGGCATCCTTTCTCGACCAGATCCCTGAACATGCCCAAAAGGAAAAAAAGAGTTTCTCTTGTCGGGGACCCGTATCCAGCCAACCCGGGAACTCCTTAGCTGCGAAGGTTAAAAAAACAACTGGAGCAATTCTTCCAGCATGAAGCTCGGTTATCGCAAGCCTGCTGCGGAATACATCCACAATAACTTTTGTTTTGATAAGGATCTATGTATTGCTGTTTTGTGACCTAATGCAATCAGCATGTTTCTTTTATGCTTTTATGTACGGAGCATGTATAACTGGGATTCCGGGGCGACGACGAAAATGCTCATGGATGGATGATACTACGATGACTTGTCGACCCTTGCCGGGGCGGACAATCCCTCTGCCCGGTTTTGCTCTGTTTTCTCTCCGAGATCATTCAAGATCATATCAGTTCCTGGCCGAATCTCGGCGTCTGCTAGGGCGAGCTACCGTTCTTCGCTATTTCAGAATATGCTACTCTCATCGTTGTGTGTGTGTGTGTGTGTGTGTGTGTGTGTGTGAGAGAGACTTGTTCGCCGGATCTGGTCCCCGCCCCTTGTTGAACTCCCACGCCCATGGGTAAGGTTTCGAATAGTGCCTTCGTAGCATCAGATCAAACCACGCTGATCGAAGTCAATCTTCCTTGGTCGTTTTTCGTTTCTGGCTGAGAATATTTGGCTATCTCCTGGGCAAAAGGGGAAGCACAGACAGCGCACTGGCAGCAATCCGGCCAATGTCAAGTGCAATAGCGATTCCCGAAAGAGTCACTCGGGATCAGTAGAGGCCAACCCTCCCCCGTTGGTCATGGACTCGTCGCGAACGCTGCTTCGACAACAAAGCCAGCAAGCGATCGGGGTTTATTTTTCGGAACTTCCTTTACGCGTAAGAATAGACTCGGACCATTCCCGTTTAGGATGTGATATCCCGCTCCAAATCAATCAAAACGTTTGTCAATCAACACTCCCCCTGCTCTGTTTTTTCCCTTATTCCCTTCTTCCCCCCGGTTCCCCTTCATGGCCCTTCCATCATCATAAAATCCTCTCTTATTGCAGAGATCTAACGTTCGGATTGTGCTCCGATGAAATAGAACAAATCCCCATGCAACGCTGGCGGGAACTATTAATGTCTCTCTCAGACAACCGACAAGGGGCGGGAGCTGCCACGCTCAGCCGCCCTGGGATTTTGAAACATCCAACCCGCTGCAGGTTGTCAACCTTGAATGTCACGTGATGGGTACGTTTTTTCGGGGGGAGCGTTCCGGAGATCACATGAACACTTTTCGGGAGACGAGTGAGGGACGCCAACGCTGCACAACCCGCCCCTTGGCGACCTGACACTTGACAAGCAGCAGGTGGCGGAAAATGCACATCAGCCGCCAACAGCACCACAAATGGTACGGAGGAGTTACTAGTACGTGCTTGGTCGATGCCAACTTTAAAAGAAGGAAAAAAAAGAAAATAAATGATCGCTAGTGGTCTGCAGCAAGAAAGCTAACCAAGAAATACACTTGCCACAGCCAGAATTAGGAGTGGCAGGCAGCGAGTATCTCCCCTCCGGCATTGAACATCGGGAGGAATTGCAGCGGCCTTCATTGGCCCGCACACAGGGACAAACCATGGGCCCACGATGTCGTCGATTTCTGCGCACAGATCCCCCTAAGCAACGCCAGAGTGGGAACGTCCTGGGACGATCGACGGGCTGCACTTTAGCACAGGTGGGTTCAGCTGAGTCCCGCTCTTGCGAGTCCGGTTGAGGAGGGAGGGGGAAGAAGGGGAGTAACAGAGTAGTGGTTGGGAGCAAGAAAACAAACTCTCGGAGCTCTAACCCAGTTTCGATTACGAACACCTCGATCCGTTGTCACGGATATCACTAGCCAAAACGCCATGGGGTTGCGGGTTTATCAGCACTAAATGACGGAGGATTAACTCCGCAAAAGACGCTCTCTCACACCCACACATAAATAAAAAAAAAAAAAAAAAAAAAAAAAAAAAAAAAAAAAAAGAAAGGAAAAAGAAGGAAAGGAAAGAGAGGTGATGACGAGCCACTTCTTCCTATCCTAATTTAGTAAGCTAAACTCCTCTCCAAAGGATCACTCTGCGTCTCTTTGCCAACCCCGTATTTCGTATCCGGGACATATTCCATCCCCGGCAGATATTTTTTTTAAGTTCCTCGTGGCTTCGCCCTTAGTGGCATCCACACAACACAAAGATACATCGACGGCGCAGTAAGGACGAGTGACAAAACGGTAAGGTCAAAGCGACAGGTACAATTGGTCCGCGAGGACGAGAACAGAGTTGTCCCTCGGGCATCAACAAGAATGATGTACAGGACAATCAGCAAAGAGCAATGTAACCCTATCTCTCCTGTTTCTTCTTTTTTTTTTTTTTTTTTTTTTTTTTTTTCCCCCCAGATAGCCGCTGTTATCACTCCCTTAAATTGTCTTTAGAACGTCGGATCAATGTCCAGTTACATCGTTCGTTTGTTTTCTTTTTTGGGGTATACCTTTTCCCCAGGTCTTCAGCCAAGCACTTGTGGCTCCATTTCGTTGCGCAAAGCCTTCAGGCCCCCCTTTATCCCTTCCTGCCCCCACGCCCCAAAAGGAATTCCCACAACAGCTCTTCTGCACTGGAGCTGGCCTAAAATGTAAGCTTAAAATAGATGTGGGCAGTTCATCCCAGGATAAAATCTGTTCTGTACATACAACAGGTCCAGGGTATATAGGGATATAGATATAAACCATCAAAGCTTCAAAAGCCTCAAAATTCCCAATATCAAAACAAGAAAAGGGAATTGCAACGGAGGATGGATTTCTACGCGAATGACGACAAACAGATACCTCTCTTTTCGCCACGGTCCTTGCCGGGCAGGCAA